TTTCTCTGTAAAACATCATGGAAAAATTCGATAGTTTTTTCGAAAGCCTTAACATTTCAGAATCATCGTTGCAGAATATAAAAAAGAAAACAGCTGTGTATACATTCGTAATACCATACCTGTTCTATACAACACTCAAATTCCAAGAAAAACGCGCTAAAATTGTCAATATTTCATGCAAAAAAAGAAATTTGAAAAACCGTTGGAAATTTTGAAGTTCATATATATTAATAAAAACACAATCATGTCAGCAGAAGATGACATACTCCTCGCGGAAGCATCGCGCCAGTACTAATAGCCGACCGTAGAAAATAGTAAAAATTACCTTATGTGTACTATAAGAACAAAGTATCGATAACTATGTGTGACGTTTCTAAGGGGCGGGGTGATCTCCAGAGGAACGTCCATATGACGTTTCTCATGGACAAAATCGATATGTGAGGCTTCCTTAAGTACGAAATTTTTGAGTACCTGTTGAACTGAGGAAGATAAGGCAAGTTTATGTACTTGATACTTTTGAGAATACAAAATGTGGAAGCTACTGTGGAAGCTCAAGAAACAAGATACTCAACACATATTAGTTGCTTGTACTAGGAGTTTAAACTTTTGCCTTTGTTTATGCGATATAAAGAAAGCACCTTTTAGTTTAATCACTTGCCTCACTTTGTAATGACGTTATATTCTCACACTTATGTCGGTCTGCAGTAAATTTCTTGTTTTGTCCCCCCCCCCTCTTCCGTATCCGTGCCATCCGTACCCGTGTTTTATCCCAACCCGTAATACATTCTCTTAAATTGTTCTTCATTTTTTTGTAATATAGATCTTTGAAAAGAGTGATTTTGACTGGGGGACCAAAATAGTTAACTGGGGGAGGGGGGGGGGTCACCATGGTGCCGGGAGGCCTTGGGCCCCAGTATAGATGTTAAAAAATGCCCTTGTCAAGACAAGTTTTGAAGACCTTTGAAAGCTCGCGCTTGATAATATTATGACAATAAAAGCATTTATTTAAACACGTTGGTAAATTTACAGCATAGCTGATGTGGTCGTTCAAGATCTTTCACGCTCGCGCGTGGCGCTCGGCCATGCATGCGAGTCTACTTAATTTGTTTATTATTATGACAAGTTGGCAAGATTTTTAACGGAAATTTATTACAACGTTTACTAAAGTATGATTCTGGTACGAAACGTCATGCACAACAGCCAATCGGCGCTTCTTCAAGATTTGAAAATATGACATCACCACAGGGCAGTCCCAGCGTAAGTTTTGACAAAATGTTGTCAAAAACCCGAAGAGAATTCGCTTTTTTAACGTCCTTAATAGAATGAACTTTTGAAGAAAGAATCCTTCTGTAAGGGAAGCCTCACATATCGATTTTTTCCACGAGAAACGTCATATGTTCGTTGGGGGGGGGGGGGGACAGCTGTGACGTTTCTCTGTAAACATCATGGAAAAAATCGATAGTTTTTATCTTTGCAGAATATAAAAAAGAAAACAATTTGATACAAACAGCAGTCTATATATTCGTAATACCATACCATACCTGTTCTATACCTATACATTTATATTATTACGCCTTCTTTGCATTTGAAAACACTCAAATTTCAAGAAATACACGCTAAAATTATCAAATTTCATGCAAAAAAAGTTGTTTTGAGAAACGTTGGAAATTTTGAAGTTCACATATATATTAATAAAAAAAGAGTATGTCAGCAGAAGGTGACATATTCCTCGCGGAAGCATCGCCAATAGCCGACCGAAAAAAATAGTAGAAAATTACCTTATGTGTACTATATTGAACAAAATATCGATAACTATGTGTGACGTTTCTAAGGGGGGTAGGGGGTCTCCAGAGAAACGAACATATGACGTTTCTCATGGACAAAATCGATATGTGAGGCTTCCCTAACCCTAACCAATAAATGTCTAATAAACAATTTGAGAGTTAAAAAAAGTCGTGGAGAAAAGTTTTAAAATATTTTAATTTTTAAGAAAAAATTTTAAGTGAAACAGAACACCGTTAGCAGAACACCGTCGGCTAAAACTAAATCGGACCCGACCTCGCTTCGTTTCGTACGCACGCAACGCCTTTGCCGAATACGCTACCAGCAAGTTCGCTGAAAAGTGTTGCAAAAAACTATATTATATTTGTAATAATAAGTAAAGTGGACTCACAAGACTCGTATATGCACGCCCGAGCTTTCAAAACAGACTACATAAAAGAGACAAATACCACGCATTTTTGGGCTGCTATGGTAAAGCACAATAAGCTTAAAGCCTGTGTGGAGGAGAGTGAAATGCAAACTTCGTTCCGAACTTCTTTCAAAAGTTCATAATCATAATCATATTCAAAAAACCGGTTTTTGTACAATGCATTTGATTGGCTTCCTTTTGTTCGGGAACCAATCAGAGGCTTTGTTTACAAATCGCCTTGTGAATCTCAATATGAACTTTTAAACTTCATTTAGTACGTCAGGGAAAAGTTTATACGTGAAATCACCTGCAACATATATAAATTTGCCCACTGAAATCAACTGCAATTTTATATATTGAGAATTTCGAATTCGGCATAGTGGGTATAATTAATTAAGACAAGAATTTATTCACGTTTCGGCATCTTCATTCTTTATTCGTTTTGCAATGACCAAAAGTGGCTCCATGCATTAAATCAAAGAATCTTTTGGACACAAACGTCACAAACGTTTTCATGTAAGTTGATAAAATTGTTATCACACAGTTTTATATATTTAACAAATATAAAACATTTTGAATGAATGAATGTCTGAATGAATGAGTGAATGAATAACAATATTTATTGGGGGTGGACCCGCAGTTTACAAGATAATTAATAAATTCTTTGTAGACTTGCATGGCGATAAAACATATATTATTATTATTTATTATTATATAAAGTACATAGTGTTTTATAGAGATTTCGAGCACTGATAAAAGTGATAATCTCACATGTGAGATTATTCATGATAATCTCACATGTGAAAATTATCGCTTTTCAATTATCACTTTTCTGTAAAAATTATCGCTTTTCAAAGACTGTCCTTTATATAATAAACAGAAAAATACATGGGTGCTTGGAAATACCAGATTTATTTCTCGTTACATGTTTTACAAGATAATTAATAACTTATTTGTAGACTTGCATGGCGATAAAACATATATTATTATTATTTAATATTTTTATTATTATTAATATTATTGTTTGTGGAAACACCACGTAAATTTACGTGGTGTTTCCACAAACAATAATGTTATATAATTAATAAACCTATACATATTTTATATACTATACAATAAAAAAGTAAAAATACGCTATCACAAATTAAATAAAAAGATTGAGATATGATTCAGTTACTGATTTCTTAAAAGAACTTAAAGTTAAGTCTTTGAAACCGATAGTGAAGTTCATCCAAATCTTTTAATACGCCTCGATAGCAAAAAGGTTTTTGACCTGTTGAAGTAGACAGTTCGGTAACTATTTTGTACATCTGAATTAAAGTAAAACAGTCAGTAATGTTCCGTTTGCTGAGACTACTTGGTTTCTTTCGGATAAATACAAGTTAAACCCTCTGAGTTAAACCCGTCCAAGGAACTTTGGCCGAGACATTTTCCGTGTTGATATACATTTATATACAGTTAATAGATAATATATCAACACGAGTGGGAATTGGGAAAAAATTGTGTGGAAACACGACGCAGCGGGTACACGAAGCGCGGAGTGTTTTCACATAATTTCGAGTTTTCCCAATTTCCGCGAGTGTTGATACAGTTATACTGACATCAAGACGAAAAACTGTTTTATATATTTTTTGTAATATAGCACGAACAAAGAAAAATAATGAAAGAAATTTTCCGTGTTACGGCTCTTAGCGAATCAGCGTTCAGAACAGGGCCTTTTTTAACATACAAGCTGGGGGGCATTTGCCCCCCCAGTCCCCCCCTTGTGCCCCCCCACGAAACCACATTTTGCCCCCCCCAGGAAAAGTCCCTTTTTCCTAAATTTATACCAACAAAACAGCGAAGAATAACAAATAAATAAACGGAAAGTAAGTTTTAGGCTTTATCCTTTGTCCCTGTTAACAAAATCGATCTAAAATTGTTACGTTTTTCTACTACTAAGTAATGATAAATTATTGTTAATAATTTTTTATTTTTTGGTTACTCAGAATGCAGAAAAGAGCATTTCCAGGTTTCAAATTTGAAAAATTTTCTGGAGATTATGCCCTCACACACGTGGCCTTCGGCCATTGGTATTCCCCTCTAATAAGTATAATGATAAATTACGGTTAATATTCTTTTTTACTTTTTAATTTTGTGCATTTTTTCCTTCTTTTATTTCAAATACAAGTATAGTTAGCATAAATTTTAGAGCAAATTTGGATGCTCAGAATGCAGGAAATGGCATCCCCGTGTTTCAAATTTCAAAAATTTTCTGCGGGAGTACACCCCACAAACGTGACCATTGATATCCTCCTCTAATAAGTAATGATAAATTATGGTTAATATTCTTTTAAACTTTTTGTGGGTTTTTTCCTTCTTTTATTTCAAATACAAGTGTAGTTAGTATACATTTTGGAGCGCATTTGGATGCTCAGAATGCAGGAAATGGCATTTTCGTGCTTCATATTTCAAACATTTTCTGGGGGAGTACACCCCCCTCATTCATGCGTGCATGGTATGTTCGGCGCACACATGGCCTTCAGCCATTGCTATCTCCCTGTAATATAGTATCTCACAGAAAGGTCCCTTTTCAAAAAATGCCCCCCCCCCACGGGAAAATCCTTAAAAAAAGGCCCTGGTTCAGAATTTACAAATGCTATATTATAAATAAAGTTGATATTGACTTGGTATTGCCAATCATGTGAGTACAGTATGCAACATACGAGAACACTATGGAAATACATATCATTTAAGGCGCAGTTCAGCCCTTTTAATTGAAAAAACTAACTAGGAAATCAATTATACATAATTCAAGATCAGTAAATTCAATGTTTTGAACAATAAAATGTTTTAAAATGTTAAAAACATCAAGTTTGCTGATCTTGAATTATGCTTAATTGATTTTCCTAGTTAGTTTTTTCAATGGACCTTTCTCCCTATAACTAAAATTTTGATCTAGACAAAAATTTCATCACAGCTTGAAAGAGCATTACAAAATTAGTAATATTCCAAAGTTTCGTTGCCAAATGTTGTAAAATGCGGATAATATAGCCTTGCGAAAGCTTCCCGTTTTTCAGTCATTTTGTATTACCCACGGAAAATTGACAGCCCAATCGGGTGTTGGGGCATCAATTTCCCGCTCGTAACACAAAATGACTGAAAATTGCAAATTTCGCAAGGCTATATTATCCGCATTTTACAACATTTCGCAACGAAACTTTGGAATATTACTAATTTTTTGATGCTCTTTCTAGCTGTGATGAACTTTGTGTCTAGACTTGTCTAGATCAAAATTTTAGTTATAAGGGGCCTTCAAAAGGCTGAACTGCACCAAATTGCTTCACTCCAGACCGTAGCCACGATGCTAACATTGGTACGACCAAAATTACCGTTGAATCCGGAGGCTGTGAATTTCTAGGGGGGGAAAAATTTGAAAACCCGAGAATTTTGAAACGCTATTTTCCACATTATGAGTAGGGGAAGGCGGAGGGGGGGGGGGGTCCAATCCCGAAGCGTGAGCAATAATATCCAGAAGATTTTGAAAAATAAAACTTAAGGAAGTCCTGAAGCACGTAAAATAACAAATTTATTATATAGGAATCTGAAATGTATAAAGGGAACATGAAATGTAAGCAACAACCATATACTTGAAGGTCTTAATGGCGAATAACAGTCTGTACTGGACGTGCGTTCACCCAGTGAAGTATTATTTAAAGAAAGAGCAGCAGTGATTTATCTGGTGTAAACACCTCTAGTTACATAGATAAGCTTTTAATAATGCACCCTTTCGATAATTACGTCATTTGTCCTGGGAGCCTCGCTCTCATGAACCGTGAGCCAATCACGTTGCGTAATTTACTGATGAGAGCGAGGCTCCAGGACCAAAAAGGATGTATGTGATTATCGAAAGCTAAGGGTGTATTAACAAGGAATTCTGACATCCATCACATTGAAAGCCGATATTCATATTGATGAATCTGTCCTAGGTACACTGGAAAAACTGAGGGCGGACATACTTTTACCGTCAGAACAATTATTGAATGGAACAACATTGATCTAGGCGACAGAAAAAAGTACTCAGTTGCTTGCTTTAAGGTTACTTCACATGATGAACGTGCGTTTTAGTCTATTGAACATGGCGCAACGAATTTTAGGTGTAACTTTACCGAATTTTTAGTGAAGAAAGCCAAGAGAATCCTGATTTCGAAAATCTTCATTTGATGGGTGTTCTATTTAAACATGTCCAGTATTGGCTGACTAAAGAAATATATAGGTATCCCATAAAAAAATCAAAATTTGTTTATAGTTTACCTCAACGTTTGTCTACATATATCTCGATTTGAATCTTCATAGGTACGGTAAAAAAAACGTGTGCGGAAAATTTCTCTTCTTCAATGGTTTTTCTGATATGACGTTTTCTTTGACAACTTCGTGTATTATCAGTGACAAATCCAAGAATCAGGGCATATCAGAAAAACCACTAAAGAAGAGAAATTTTCCGCGGCACGCGTTTTTTTTACCGTGCCTATGAAGATTCGAATTGCGATATCTAGACAAGCGTTGAGGTTAACTATAAACATATTTTGATTTTTTTATGAAGGTACCTATATATTTATTCAGTCAGCCAATACTGAAAATTTTAAACTGAACACCCATCAAATGAAAATTTTCGAAATCAGCATTTTCCTGGCTTTCTTCACTGAAAATTTGGTAAAATTACACGTAAAATTCGTTGCGCAATGTCCAATAGACTAAAACGCACGTTCATCGTGTGAAGTAACCTTAAGTACAATTCAATTGAATTCACACAAGTCATATTAAACAACCAGAAGGACATGCACCAAGATCTTGACTGCATGCTTTTAAATTTGTTATAAGCTAGCGCTGTTTATCGGTAGTATATTTTATACTTTATATTTTATATAAGAGCCACAATGTCATTAGTGTAATTTTACTACAGGAAAGTGTTATCCCTCTTTAAAAAAGGCTATTCTATTCTACTACAAATGTTCATTTTGCGTCAGTTGCATGTTTGCTACCTGCCACCAGCTACCCGCTTGGAATTTACATCGAATCTGGCTGTAATTTTTAATAGTTTTCTTATTTTCCCTTTCAGAAAAAGACACTCGACAAAAATACAAGGCATGCATGAGTGAAGTTGTTTGCAAAGATATCTGTTGAATTCACATAACGAAATTGCGCAGCTTAAGTCGTATTTGAAGAAGAACATTGTCGAATAAGGGCTTTGTTGAATAAGGGCCTCCCGTAGAGAAGAAAAGTCCTCTTTAAATTTATCGTGTAAACAAAGGAACTTAATTAAGACGTGTGCTGCTGCCAGACTCTGGGTACTGCTCATAAAATGATGCGTTCAAGGCCTATTACGAAAAGAAAGGTGGTCGTGTCAGCGTCAGTACTTCTCATTTTTATGGTATCAATTTTTTTAATAGTCTATAACATTTCACCTGAAACGAAAAAGCATATATTAAGTTTCCCGGAAAGAATTACAACGGAATATCTGTCAAAAAGGTTGTCAACTAAACCAACAAGAATCTCAACTAGTCCAACAAGAATCTCAACTAATCCATCAAAGATATCAGCGAATCCAAAAAAGATGTCAGCGAATCCAAAAAAGATGTCAGCGAATCCAAAAAAGTTGTCAGAAAGAGAACTGTTATTATTTGTTGGCATACACAGCGCTCCGTCACGTCTTGATCGGAGAAATGCCATCCGTGAAACATGGATGAAAGAATGCCAATCGAATCCTAATGCTATTTGTCGTTTCTTCACCGACGGACAAGATCCAAATGGAAAAGTATTGCAAGGAGAGAAAAGAATTAAACTTGAAAACGAGAGTCGTGTTTATGGAGATCTTTTCCTAACTGAAGTACCAGGAGGGGTTAATTTTGCCGTAAAATATCTTTGGATGTTACAATGGGCGAAGGAAAGATACGACTTTCAATACTTTCTTCGCCTTGATGACGATTATTTCATTTGCTTTCGCAAATTGATGCTGGAATTGGAATTTTTTCGACCGAAGAAGAAATTTCAATGGGGATGGCTGCATTGTGAACTTCCAGGTACGATTGAAAATTCATCTGTTGTGTGTACTTGTTTAAGCGCCACCTTGAAACAAGCGCTGCCCTCGAATAAGCGGCGCACTTATTCACAACAACGCGACGCTTAATTGCAGAACCGTCTGAAAAATTGTTCGCGACGCCCAACCGTAGAAGGAAAATGCCCTGACAACGAGGTTGTAATCGTTAACAAGCCTCGAAACGTTTCACGTTGGTCAAATTGAGCGACATTTCTCCCTCTCGTGCGGACTCGTGTTGTCAGCGGACATCTTACACAAAACGGCCAGTTCCGTGCAGAATGCAAAACGTTCAATTTTTTGGTGAATTTCTATTTCAGAACCATCGTCAGAGATAGAAAAAACCAGTTAGTTTCATACTATTCTGAGACTGCACTGACACCAACGAAAAATTCGTTGGCTCGAGCGGGATTTGAACTCGCATCTTCGGGTATCTAGACCGCCGCTTTACCTATTGAGCTATCGAGTCAACGGGGATTGGTAGCGAGTCTTATCCAATTTAAGTGCACGAAATATTTTCGTGACGACTTTATACACTTGTCTTAGAGGACGCGTAGAGTTTCAGTTCTATTTTGATAGCTCAATGGGTAGAGCGGCGGTCTAGATACCCGAAGATGCGAGTTCAAATCCCGCTCGAGCCAACGAATTTTTCGTTGGTCTATTGCAGTGTCAGGATAATATGAAACTGTTTTTTGCTGAATTTGACCAGCGTGTTTTTCTCCTGAATTCCAGTACTTCTTTTTATGTTTATTTTGTTCCTAATATTTCTTGGTATCGTTTGCTAAAATTTCCACTGATCTCAACTTGAAACTGGGTTTGGGTAGAGCAACCTTTTGAATTCAGTGAATTAATTTTGAAACTGGAAATGTATAATAAAGACATTTTTAAGTCTATCATATCCATTACGAGTCATTTCCAGGAATATACTATATACACCCTGGAAAAATTTTAAAACTAGAGTCTCTAAAATGCCATTTCCTGCACTTTAGAAGGAGATTTACAGAGTTCTAAAGGCAACAAAATGTCGTTGTCCACACGTGTAACTGAAATAATATCAATTAGCTTTGTGGTTTATTATTGACCATTGTTAAAAAGTGGGGGGAGATACATTTAACCCCCCACCCCAACTAAAAAAGTGGGCCCGACGCCCCTGGGCTGTATACCTACAAGACGAGCTTCAATTTCCGCCATCTTGGCATCAGGCAGTACAGTTATCGTTCCAGTATATGTAGAGTTCACTGGGGAGGTGAGGTGGAATTCCTTTTTTCAATTGGCTGCATAGTTAGGTTAATATAAACAGGAATCTGGTTATATTTGTCCCGGACGCCCTTGTTAAAATAACCAGGTGGATCAGTAACCAGGGCGGCCTGGTTATTTATCCATCAAACATAGTCCGATTAATTTAATCTGCATGAAAGTCCTGGCCGAATTGAAATTTTCCTGATCAATTTAAAATAAGGGGCCGGTCATTATTTATGGCAGGGGATGTTTGTCGAGCTTGATGCAACTCGATTAAAATAACAGCATTATTAACAACTTGTTGACAAGCTTGCCACAAGCCTGTTGCGAACACATCTTATTGACAAGTTTGCTACAAGCCTGTTGCGAACACATCGAGCAGAGTTGGATGAAAATTGGATGCGAAATTTGCAAAAGTTTGTCTTGTATTGCCGGGCAGAGTCAAATGCGTAATTACCTCATTGTATAATTTATGAATAATACAGAACTTGCTTGGGAGGCGGAGCACGAGGTATGCCGTCTCCGAGTGACCTCTAGTTATTATTAATACCGTAAACCTCCGACTAAAGGCCCTGGGCTTATTATATACTTTCGTAAGCGATTTTTGATGGGCTTATACAAGGGGGGGGGCTTACATACGGGGGGGGGGGGCAATACATGGACGATCTTTTGCGTTAGTAATAAACAAGTCAGACATAAACAAGTCAGTCATGAACTAGCCTGCATGGCAGGCGGTACGTAGGGTATTTCCTTTGCTTCCCTAATTTTCGCTGCCCGTAGAAATACCGCCTGCCATGCAGGCTAGTCATAAACAGGAAAATAAACATATAACGCGCTTGGATTAACATAGTCGACTATAAAGACAATGACAATGTTTTTAAATGTCGTTCTCTGCTATATTAAAAGACAATGTCAATGTTGAATAACGTAGTGGGCTACTGGGCTTATATTCCGGGCACTTATATTTGGGGGCTTATATTCGGGGCTTATATTCGGGGGCTTATATCTGGGGGCGGCTTATATTCGGGGCCGGGGGCTTATATTTGGAATGAGGTGAGAGTTAGTATATGTGGTGGGCTTATATTCGGGGTGGGTGGGTTATATTTGGGGGCGTATAGTCGGAGGTTTACGGTATTATTATCTTGATTAACCGGTTATTATACTGATTTTAGCCGCGACGTGGTTGGATGAAGCTTTCTATCTTGTGAGCAAAGATATAGTGGAATCATACCTTAGCCGGCGAGATACTTTATTGTGCCATGTTTGGGAGAGTCAGGCCATTGGATATTGGACAAAAAATATTTCGGATCTAACTACATTTGCAGACAACAGGAGACTTTTACATAAACAAACAGGATTTAGTTCAGAACAGGAAGTGTTGAAAAGGACAGAGATTTGCCATTCAGTTCTTGCCATTCATAAAAGTTATCCTGAAAAGATGAGACTGTTTTGGAGTATTTATGAGAAAGAGGACAAGCCCGTTGCATACCAGGAGGTTAAAATTTCTTATGGCTGTAGATATCCACTTGCGATGGATTACAGGACATGGGGTAAAAAGTCAATTTGGTTTTCTGAACCGAAATTATGCAAAGACAACCCAGTATGGGACCGAAATGGAGAATACAAAGGACGTCAGGGACATTGATCTTTTTTGTATCAAGGCCCTCACGTAGAGAATAGGATATCCCAAGTTGTTGTAGAGTAAATCAGTTTGTCGTGAATTATCCAGAGTTATTGTAGAGTGAATCAATCAGTAAGCTAAAATGTAACCATGCAGTTACAGTTATATCTCTGTTGAAAACGAAACTATAGTTGCCGTTACAGTTGAAAAGTAACCATTACTTGTAATTTCGTCACTTCAAATCAAATCAATTTATTCAGCTACATAATAATTACAGGAAAAAATATACAGAGAGAGAGAAAGATTAATGGCAAGGTAGCCCAAGTGAACCCAATAGGCTTATAGGCCCTTATAATATTGCGCTCCTTTATCTTACAATATTAATCTATTTTCTATCTATTTTCCACAAACAAAAGTATTATAATCAGAGACGCCGGAACTATGTGAAGGCAAGGGGGGCAGATTTTCGTGAAAGAGCACTTTTGAATTGATATATACTAAGAGATGTTTACAAAACATTGGGAGTTGAACTTCGCTTATGATCATGTTTTGTATTTATTGGATGGTAGGGGTGTGAGGGGGTTCTCCGCCAGGCGATTGTGCTATTCTTGAAGCTCGATGACTGCATTTCTTGCATTTTCTGAAGCAAATTCGTAAAAGAATTGCACTAACATTTCTGACAATTCGCTATTTCGCCAAGGCAATCCTTTAAATTGAAAGGGCACCTTTGCCCCCCTTGCCCCTCCTGGTAAAGGGCAACGGGGGCGGCTACCCCTCCTGCCCTCTCCAAGTTCCGGCGTCCCTGATTATAATATTAATCTAATAAGACTACAGTGGGTAAGAAAGCAACTATATTTTCCAAAAATAGGACAGAGGGCTCAAATTTTTATACGGCTACTGCATCTCATGCAGTAGATGTGGCATGCTTTGTACTGGGGAAACTGAACGATTTCTGATGATAATGTGAGCGTATCGTTATCCTGTCATTCACAATTAATGATGCCAACCAGCCTGTTACCAGACATTTTAATATACTGGCAATCACAATGTTTCAGATATGAAAATTCTGAGCCGTCTTTCCCATTTCTGGCAGCATTGATATAGCCGCAAAGACTTGGCACTGTCCACCCCTAAGGTGTTAATTGACGTTTTCCATATGTTTAGCTTTGCCTGTCAAGAGCAGACATTGAAAGTACTTTAAATTATCACCTTATTCCATACTTGTTTCATAAATTATTTGTATTTGTTGGAAGAAGTTATTTCGCTGCTGTCACAATGACATTTCGTCAAAACTTTTTTCTTCAAGATTGGTTTAGAAACAAACTTGGAGTGGGGTTAGGGTTAGAGTTAGTGTTTGGAATAGGGTTAGGGTTAGTGTTACGTTTTGTCACTCTGAGGCCAGCGAAATGACTTCCGTATTTGTTGTAGTACATTTGTATTAATATATTTTGCAATGTGATTTACATTTTTTGTTCACACTTTGTTTTGACTAAATCATTATTTTTTTGTCACGTGATCGCTTTTATATTCAATAGTGTAAAATAATCAGCATGATCTCTTCCCAAAATTAAGGCTATGTCTTAATTGTAAAAGGGTTCAAATTAAGACATTGCCTTACCCTAACCCCCACCCAACCCCCACTCTGACCCTAATCTAATCCTGGTCTAAATCTGTTGTATTACTTGTATATACCAATCCATAGTTATCTCCATATTTTCCAGACATGGAGTAATTTGAAGTGGTTGTCATGGTAACACAATGATTATTTTTTATTTGTTTTTGAATAAAATTGTAAGAATACTGAAAAGATTAGCGTTTTAATTTCCAAAATACTTTATGGCTAGTTTTTGTGTTTAATATACCAAAATTTGCTTCATAATTTAAAAAATATAGTTTTAATAATTCATCACTCCTAATAGGCTTAGTATATTTTGTCGGCCATCTTGTTTGCGTGATCGCTGCGCGTGGTTTACGCGAATCATATCACCCCGTGGGATATAGCCTGCGTACCCCCTCTTCTCCCGCCCGCACTAAACGCCTGCTACGCAGGCTACGTGTGATATGACTTGATTGATCATATGTGGTGGTATGATCAAATTATCCCGTGTGATACGATGATTCGTTGATAAATTTCATGTTCACGTGGCACAAACTTAGCTTTCTGATTGGATACTTTGAATTTGAGGTATAATATTTACTATTTATCTTTATCACATGCATGTGCCTTTACGAGGGCGATATTAACAGGGTGACATAAAAACGATAAGTGATATCGCTTTTTGGGCTTTTTGTCACTGACGCTGATATCGCTTTTTGTCTCGCTATTTTAATAATTGTTGCATTGGCGCAATGATTAATGTACTGTTTAATAAACGAGCAGGAGTGTTTTATTAGGCTTAAAGACACGAGCACGCTTACTGCACACGCGAGTGCATAAAGCAAAATTTATGCATTTATTTAATGCACAACAACACTAGTAATATGATCTATTAGCAATTCGATTTCAATTCCCAGGGGCCTAAAATCTTTTATGCTTACGAATTGCAAAGTGATTTCTTAGGAAATTCCGAGGTTGCGTTTTTTTTTATACACCCTGTATATAAAGAATATTAATGAGGACACGACTACAATAAATACTGCCTTATTAGTATTCTTTATATAAAGAATACTGATTAGGATTAATTAGGAGTGTTTTATCAGGTTTAAAGCCACTGCACGTGACATATTATGGTTGACATGATTTGCCAATAAGCTTATGAATTATTAATGAGTGTTTGAAATTCTAATAAATTCTGACCGTGATAAAGTCACAAGTATATAAACAGGTTATCACAATCGGCCGAAGTCTGATATCAGTTTTATCGCTTTCAAGACGGTATCATAATGTCCCTCAAGCGATAAAACTGATATCGCTTCTCATGATAACCAATCTACGATTAATATAATTATTTTGTTATATGGCCAGAGTGATTGGCTAATTTCACAGACCGCGCACAAATCCGGCGTTCTTCACGACCCGTTAACAATTAGACGAAAACAGCCAAGCAAGGACAACGATAGACTTGCTCCAAGTCTCTCTCATTGCCATATAGTATCGGTCCACTATAGTGTACATTACATGACATAGTACGGAGGGGCGGAGCGAGAAAGAGAGACTTGTCAACTTCGGAAAATCTCGGTTCAAAACTTAACCGAAAATGCAAGACTTGCTTTAATTGTTTTCTGTCAGCGTTTTATGTATTGATCTAGTACAGTGTAAATAAAATGAGTTCCATTATAGTAAATAATACAGAAAGAAATTGAAGGAAAACAATTAAAGCAAGTCTTGCATTTTCGGTTCAGTTTTGAACCGAGATTTTCCGAAGTTGACAAGTCTCTCTTTCTCGCTCCGCCTCTCCGTGCTACGTCATGTAATGTACACTATAGTGGATCGATACTATATGACAGTGAAAGAGAGACTTGGAGCAAGTCTAGGACAACGATAGACAAGCATCCCATGTTTTTTATGAACACAGATATAATTCATCCCGAGATTCAACCGACTCAGTTAGCCTTTTATCAAACCCCTGGCTCCTACAACATGCCCTCACTATGGTTTTAAATCACACAGAAGTCGTAATTCTCGATTTTAACTTACTTTATATGCATATTCGTCCGTTTCTTTACTCGAAACTTCGCTTGCGAGACGTCAGCCAACAGTGTTTTTGAATTACAAGCTGTATAAAGCGACAATTTGGTGATTATATGTTCTGCCCGTCGTCCCGTTTTTGTATGAACTCGTGTTATCCAAGCATGCAATTCTGCCAATTCTTAGTTCGATCATGGTGGTATGTTCTGATGCAATCTTGCCGAAACTATTTCTAAACCTTGTACTAAAATCGGCCCGTTTAACAAAATGTATTTTCTACCTGCAAGATGTCTTGTGATAAATGCCTCAACCGGCCTTCTTCGAAAATTTACAAAAAAATTTGAATAACAAATGGTCATTGTTTTGAGATCACATGCATACTTTTAAACCGGTTTTCGACTAGTCGGAGTTTTGTGGGCGGAGCGGACGACGGCTATTAATGCAATGGCATTAATCCCGTAGCACAAAAGAAATAAATAATCAAAAGTCTAGCAAATGATTCCTAGCAGATGACAACGCTGCATTTGAACATGAAACAATTGCACAAAACATCAATTTTGTACCAAAATCGGATCTCTGGCATTCTCTGCACTATTTCTACAATATTTGTAACATAATTGGTTGAGACTATTTTCCCCCAATGGAAAATTCACATATTTTGATGATAAACTCCATGTTGAATCATGTTGCCTTACTTAAGCCCCCGCTTCGCCAACTCCAATGACGAGCTTGTGTCATGGTATATTACCAAAAGTTGTTTCGGTGATGTTTACAACATTGAACTGGGGGGGGGGGGTTATTCATTCGGGGGGGGGGGGGGGGGAGACAAAGTTTATTCATTAAGATTTGGATTAAAGGTGATCTGCAGTCCGTATGTAAACAAAGCCTTTGTTTACATTTTTGTGTCCAAAATATTGAGCTTTATTCGACAACTATTTATATTTTCAAGCTTCTAGAGTATAATAAATGATCAAGAAACAACAATTAGGCTTTTCAAGAACTCAAAACAGAGTTAAACTGTTTCTATCATAAAAAGTGGGCTCACTTGTGCACATGCGCAGATCGGACTGTAGATCACCTTTAACGTTCGGATTAATCGTAGACCCATTACAACCCAATACTTTATTGCATACAATGGCATTACAACGCCAATAGATTATTGGTTACAACGTGCGGAACGGCTGAAACTTCAACATGGCCGCCATCTATTCAATGGGGGTAACCGCTGGAATATTCTTGGCTTCAATTGTACTAAAAGAGATGCGCTATCTAGTGTAAATAAGATATCTATGCTGCGGTCCCCAGTAGCGTAGCCAGCCCGACGATTTAGTCCCGCTATGCAAATATTTTCGTGTTCATTGACTGTGAAAACAATCAATTTCTTTCAATTTTTCTTTTTTTTTTTATTTTTTTTTTTTATTTTCATTTTGAATTTGCATAGCGGGACTGAATTGTCGGGCTGGCTACGCCACTGGCGGTCCCACTCAACTGTTCATCTGAAGCGAAATTATGTAAAGACAATCCAATATGGAGCCGAGATGGAGAATATAAAGGACCAAGGGGCAAATCACTGAACATTAAATCACAAAAATAAATCAAAGGACGTTGAGGCCGACTCAAGGATGAGATCAATGAAAGTGACTGAAAGAATTAGAGCAGTTTGCAGTTGTTTTTGCAAACGGGCACCATGCGAATTTTGCCATTTGTCATGCTTCTTTTGCCAAATCAAAAGTCAAAAGAATGAAAACGTGCTCCAGCCCGATTTCCAGTTCTAAAAGGCCCAATTCGCAGGCAAACAGTGCGTGCAAAGCAGGCTGGTCATTTCCCATTGTTTAGTTGCTTCATACTCAGTAAGTCAATCAAAGATAACCAGAATCCTGGTCACATTTACCAGACTATGGTAGGAAGTGAGATAAAACAACTAGGAAATTTAATCAAGAATAGTAATTTAACCCAAATAGGTTTATTTCTTGGTTAATCAGGAACATTTTAACCAGGGTTGTTCAAAAGGAAATTCCACAAAAAGAAATTTAATCAAGAATATTAAATTGACCCAAATAGCTTTATTTTTAGGTTAATCGGGAACATTTTAACCTGGGGCCGGTTGTCCAAACGTCGGTCGGCTTAATCCACAATCTCGTACGCAGAGCAATGCCTGTGCGCGGGCGAGGGAGGCATTGGTCCCTCGCCCGCGCACAGGCATTGCTCTGGATACGAGATTGCTTAATGCAAGGTTATGAAAATGTTCAAAGCAATCTTTCCAACAGTTTGTTTTTGAACATGGAAATATTTTTCTAGGACTCTTGTCCTCATCAACAGAAGTTTCACTTTCTAACGTTTCAAAACTGAAACAGACGTGCAGAAATACACAAACCGAAAACAGCGAGTTAAATTTCAATCCAGGGTTAGCCTTAATCCAGCTTTGACCCCCAGGGTGTTTTCAGATTGTAAAAGACAATATATTATAGAAATCATATTTCTAAAGAACGACACATAAACAATGATAAATTTTATTTCAAACAACGTGTTCATATTAAGTAGATAGTGAATTTTAAAAGTTGTAAAATTAGTTACATTTCACATTTTTTAATGTTCTGCAGTCTACTGCATGGATAGGCTTAAAGTTCACCAGATCTGCCACTCGCTCTTGTTTGAGCGCTAACTATCATCAACTCTCATTAGCTTCAAGCAAGTTCAAATTTTGATCACAACTGGACAGAAATAAACAAACGTAAAGGGAAATGACAATACGTTTCCTCCGTTTGAAAGACTGATTCAACAAATTTCAAAATCTTATCACAGATTTTTTTATCGTTTTTGGTATAAAAGATATTGCACTTCATGTCATTTCAAACAAAATACTTAACATGCATTCCGCCATCTTGGATATGCATATCCATCGTCGGTATGCGTGACGTCACAACCGGAGTAACATCACTTTTTATCTTGAGCAATTCTCGGGTCATTTTAATGCTATGTAATTGCTATAATACCGTCTAATTTAATCAATAGCTCAAGCTATGTATAAGCCTTTCACTGATATTACTTTTTTAGTTTAAAACGTCTACCCTGGTTGTGGCTTCATTGAATTAGCCTCTCTCACGAAGGCCAAAATCCGCCATTTTGGGGGTACTGTCTGCCCTCGTGAAAGTTTCTAGACAATTCAGACAACGTAAAAAGCGACTTTTAAAAGTCGTAACCGTAAGTTTACCACTACACAAACAACTATAGGCTACTATAATTTACCATTACACAAACAACTTTTTTAAAATTGTGTTTCGTGGTGCGGAGACTCTCAAACGCGGGAGACGCAGTACCCCCAAAATGGCGGAAAAATCGGCCGTGAGAATACCCTGGATTCCAGAGCCTTCGACAGTAAATAATAAATTGAAATGTCGCGAAGGCTCTGGTTCAACGGGGCGATTCTTTGATTAAGCCGCGCCAATCACAAAACATAATTAGTGGTTTTAGTACAGATTCTGTACAGATTCTGTGATTGGCGCGGCTTAATCAAAGAATCGCCCCGTTGAATCAGAGCCTTCGCGACATTTCAATTTATTATTTACTGTCGAAGGCTCTGGAATCCAGGGTACCGTGAGAAAGGCTAATTACATCTAATAAAAAACAAGATGGCGGATATCAGAATGTTTTGATTTCAAATATTTCAAAAATTAAGATAGTTTGGGAATATTTGAAAAAGGATTTGTAATCTCAAAGTTCTTTGAAATCAGACAAATATAAGTTCTTTGTAGGATTACATGGCGATAAAACATGATACTTTTTGTTTGTGGAAACACCGCGTAAATTTACGTGGTGTTTCCACAAACAAAAAAATATTATATAAGCCAAATATAATCTTTGTTGCCATTTTCCTTCAAGGAATGCTTAATCTAGTACAGAATAGTCACCAAAACTCATAGAGTCGACTACATTAAACAAGGGAAAAACAAATTTAAACTGCTCTCAAGCTTGAGACGATCTAGCTTGTCATACCGTTCTATATTATACATTGAACATTTACTTGTTACATGAGGCTTGGCACAAGTTAAAAGGAATAAGGTTTAAAAGAGAATTATTTACATTTATACATTCAAGCTAAAACATGCATATGATCATTATTTGCCTTTGAAGACAACCGATATTTCTCTTAAACAACTCTTAATAGGCCCTCCAAAATGTTTTCCGCCATCTTGAATCTATTGTTTTAATCATTGTGTTTGTACCCCTTGCAAATTTACGTATAGGGAATTCTATTGTGTTTCATTATGGCGTCTTTAACCTTGGAAGGGTCTATTAGTACTATTCAATACAGATCTACGTAATAAAAACCCCAAATGAATTCGAAAGTAATAAATTGCACATTTCAATGGCATTGGCAAACTCACTGATCTAAAACCAGCAAATAACCAATGGATAGAGCGTGTTTTTCACATCAATGATTTTGAAGCAAGAATTTTTATAATGAGAAGAGATTTTAAAAAATGGTAATAAAAATCTTTTACAAATCGAATTGTAACGTGTTTAAACTAGTTTTCATAACAAGGAAATGTTCTTTTCTATATGAAAGTTGAAAGATATGGCTTTCCATGCATTTCCATTCTAATGAGTTTTAGAACGTTTTAAACATTAATAATGAGTGTTGAAGCGGCAATATTGATGTGACCTCATTAGTTATTCACTCGCAAATTAAACAGCAGAAAGAGAGGCCACTGAGGATCAATTTCTATGTAGACAATGTACGTATCCTTTCCCACTTAAAACCAAAAGCGCTGAGAACTTTTTCCAACACGTCAACACCAAAACAGTAGTTTTGTGATGGTCCCACTAATATGGCCGTCATTGTTTCAGTTCTACATAACAGACCGTTATCCAGTCATAGTTTTGAGCTCAGTGGCCAACTCCCTATATAGTGCTCTATCTTGAAATAGCGATGGAAATCACATATACACAGGAAAAAAATAAAATACCATTAAAGCTGAACAATTAAACAGCATGGTCTTTACCAATAATGTATGGGAGTTTAGTTTTTCCATGCATGAATGATATAAAAATTCAGTTTTTCCATGAATGGTAAAAATTCAGTTTTTCCATGAATGGTATAAAAATTCAGTTTTTCCATGAATGGTATAAAAGTTCAGTTTTTCCATAGTTTCTACATGGTAAACTTTAAAAACTCTTCAAATCTCATTATTTGAAATTTTTTCCCTGTGATATACGGCTACTATCCATTACTACATTTATATAAACTTCTTATTATTGGATGTTTGTAGCATATCATTTTATGCTTGATTTAGGAACAGATTACATGGACATTTTCAACTCAAGCTAAAATTTCAACCCAGTCCGGGCTTCGCACAAAATCCTTGTAGAACAGAGCACCAGACAAAATTTCAGCCGTGATATAAATTTCAGCCCGTGTTGAAACTTCATGATCCTTCGGGGTTTGAACTACCCGGGATGAAAATTTCATCTCCGTTGACCGGCTTGAAAATCGTCATGTGCAATCGACAAGGAATTTCAGCCCGGGTTTAAAAAGCAATCGATATAAAATATTTATATGGCTTTATTTTTGCGACTAGTGCAACCATAATCTCGTACACGAAGTCAAATATTCGAAATAATATTTTAAATGATTTAAAAAGAGGAATCAACTTTCTATTGAAATTGAGCCTGGGTTGAAAAGTTTTCAAGTAATTGGCCTCTAATATATATCTTTCATTTCGTAATTGTAAATGTGTGCTCTATGCCTTTTTGTCTTTCAATGCTAATCGGCTAAAACAGATCATTCGCTCTTGTCTTACAATTGCTACTTTCTTAATACTCATTTAAGGAATATTTCACATTTACTGTAGTTTAATTATTTTGTTTTAATTATAATGATTATTGTTATTTTGTGCCGTGTATTTGTAACATGTTATTGCAGTTATATTATGTGCGCGAATATTGATTCAAACAGGCCGTTATTATAGATTATACTTCAATTACTGTAGATTTACAATTGTTCAATATCTAAAAAAATCATTTGATAAAGTTTGCACCATTATCACTATTTGTTATCATTAGATAATTGTTACTACGATCATCATTCTGATTATTATTGTAATGGTCCGATGATTATGATTATTATTTACGATATTATGGCTTGATTATTATTATTATATAAGGCCACATAAAAAAAAATACTTGTTTAGCGTCCACCCATTTTAATTTTTCTAGGTCGGGCGGACGGATTTTTTTTTTTTTCGTAAAATGCAACACAAAATTCTGCTAAATGCAGGAAATCCAGTATATTACCACAGTCAAAACTCACTTTAATTCTTTCAAAATC